GGAACTCGTATACTCTGCTCTGCCTTGAGCCATACCAGAAGTCCTGACAGCCGTAACAGCTGGTGATATAGGCAGATAGTATTACCGGCAAAGACACAGGAGACTGGACTGGCCATTTATGGCTTCGTCAGCCAGTGAGATCCTGACCCAAGTGGCGTCCCACATGCGCTCCGAACTCGCGACCTCTGTGCTCAGAGTCAAAAACCCTAACCATTGTGCCACGAGCTCGGTGTCTTGCCGGGTTAGGTGGAGGGCTATTGACAGTCATTGATGAACGTTCATCAGTGAGTGTCGTTGAAGCGTACTAAATGTGCTCTTCGTCGGAATTCTAGCCAGTGCATAAACATTCTTCATTAACTCACACTGGTGTCAGAAGCCTGAATGAGAGGCAGCAATTGTGGTGAAGGCGTTAGCTACGAATTAATGTTTCCCTTTCACATAATCAAATCCATCACTTAAGGGGTTTGAAGCACACTTTGGAACTCCACAATGTTCTGCGCCAACTTTTTTTACATGTTCTGACGATCAAACTGACGTTCGTTACTTGTTGACAAAAATGCATCCAAATTCTATACCAGTGCCGAGGGCTTCCGCGCTAGGAACTGAGGAAAGCACGGCTTGATGAAAAGTTAACGTAAGAACCGAAAAATATGCAGCATGAGCCGGAAACTGGTTTCATATGTGAACTAACAAAAAAACATCGGATTGTGTAATATAAAAAAGTGCTCACACCAACAAAAAAATAAACAGACTTTCGTTTTTTTGCAACAGCAGCTTACGTAGGCCCACTCATTAATCCCTATTCCCTGCATGGTTTTCTGAGAAAACGGTGGTTATAGGGTTTTATGGGTGGGGCATTAGAACACTCAGCGGAATATACTTTAGCAAATGCTAAATGCATTTTTATTTTACTGTATTTAGAAGTGTTGTTGATTTATACCTGAATATACTTTAATAAATGTTAAATGCATTTTTATTTTACTGTATTTAGAAGTGTTGTTGATTTATATCTGTGCCAAATGCATTTTTATTTTACTGTATTTAGAAGGTGTTGTTGATTTATATCTGTACTAATTTTTATTTTACTGTATTTAGAAGTGTTGTTGATTTATATCTGTAGATTTTGCATTTTATTTTACTGTATTTAGAAGTGTTATTGATTTATATCTGTAGATTTTCCCTTATCTGTATTATCGTTGAACTTATTGCGGAAAAACCCGCTTCTCAAATTGCAGGTTTCTTTAATTTCCCTAAAATTTGAAATGGTGGTTAGGAGTAAGATTAGTAAAGTACGCGGCGTGAAGCGCCGTACACACTTTCAATTTACATGTGGAACAACCTACTCCCAGCTGCCGCGAGAAGCAAACTTCCTCTACTTTATTTCACAATGCACTTATTTCAAAAAATTTATTTATCCGCCTATCCTATTTCCCCACTCCCAAAACGCTATTACCACCGCTTTTGCATGAAAAATAGCTGGGACTAGGAGTATATGAGTGGGCCTATATAAGCGCCTTTGCCGTTTTTTTCTACCGCAGTTCTAGCACGACCAGCTAAGAGGCACTGGTACATTTTTTTAACCCCAATAACAGCTCCTGTTAATCAGATTGGCTTTTAACTGATCAATATGAAAATAGCATTTTAAAACGCAATGTCTACTTGCATTCCGTATTCGCTTTTTTGTTGGTCTTTTCTATGCATATAATACCGCCAACCCGCCCCGCAACATTCTTTTTAGCGAACTGAGGGAAATTTGCGTAAGCCAGGTATGTGTATAGAAGACGAAGGCGTTTCGTGATCCCCGGAATTATGATTTTATTCTTCTGAACGTTCGGGCTCTTGCAAGAGTCCATCGTCAACCATCAACGAAAAGCGAGGTATGGGTAGAGGTTGCAGGAGCCAATCAACCGACATAAGGGGGAGAGAGAGCTCATTAAGCATTAGTGTCGGCCGTGCGTATATGCCTACAGAGGGCGATATAGGCGGGTGCCAGCTCAATTCATTGGTTGTCATCCGGAGCCCAGGCTTTAATTTGTTATCTTCCTGCTTTGGGGCCGGCATGAGCAATTAGCCTCGCGGCTGCAAAGTTAAATTCGTAGCCCGTCTGACAGCCAACTTATGCGCGTGTATGCACGAACCAAGCATGTGTCATCCAGTTTGGCCGGCGTGATTTCGGAAAGAGTTAAGACATGGTGTGCGATACACTTCGCCCAACAAGAGAGGAAAATCTCAAAAGAATAAAATTATGAACCTGGTAATCGAAATGCCTCCGTCTTCTATACTCCTTATAGCCGCTCTCTAAGCCTACTGCACCTAAGCATATTTACTATGTGTTGCCTTCAACCCCCTGGGTTTTGTATCGAGGGTCAATTTTGGGTTTTTACCTGCACAAATAACTTAGACAGACTTCCATAGGCTGTTAAATTTGTTTTCTAACGGGGCTGTGATATGGGTAACCCCTACAGACAAATAACCTTTAAGCCGACGTTAAGAAAATTCCACTGAATTATGTCGGTAACAATGAAAACCACTCTGCGCCTAGGTAAGGGACTACCCAGCTTGTTTCCGTCTCCATAGCCACCGTCAACTAAAATAAATGAAAAAATGGCACCTGCTAGAATTTTAAATGAACAAAGCCGATTAACGTAGTAGGGGGTATTTCTATGACAAAACACGACGCCCCGCCCGCCTTCCAAATCATTATTCATACCCGTAGTAGGCTCTTGTCAAAGTTTTTCTTTCCGGTTTTGTTTCTTCCAGCTACGGCGATATGGTTCCGTCGACAATAATGGGCAAGATTGTGGGCGGACTGTGTTCCCTGTCTGGTGTACTTGTAATCGCGCTTCCGGTTCCAGTCATTGTCTCAAACTTCTCTCGCATCTACCAGCAGAATCAGCGTGCAGACAAAAGGAAGTCACAGAAAGTGAGTTACTCTCCATCCTTCTGTCGCCCTCCCTCCCTCTCTATTTCTGTCCAGTACGTTTGCAGATTTTACCTCGACTTTCTTGCAATGTCTGCGCAACATATTGCCTACAAAAACGCCCCAGTGACTTAGCGAGGGCTATGAGTAAATTGCCACAATTTGCGAAAGACTGGTAATCACTCGCAAACCAACATTAAGTAGGGTTGCCATGCTGATTATCGGGCACTCTAATATCAAGTCTCCTGTCAGGATGCCGGCTCTGTAATGAGCATCCTTCTGGCCAAATGTAAAATTTAGATTATGAAAAGAACTGGGCTTTTAAAAAGTATGATTTTTTATCATTGATTTCGACTGCCTGTTTGCATTCAAATATATTTCATAGAAAACATGCACGAAAATATTTTTTTTTTATTGTAATCGTTTGCCAGCAAATTACGCCTTCTTTAAAGGTTATACTTAAAGAAAGGGTATCACTCGATTTAAAAAATGCTTCAAAACAGCCGACTCATTTTGAAATATACCGACTGCTAAACCTGAATTCAAGGTTTTCAAACAGCTTTATCGTCTACGGTTTGAGAAGGCAGTTGTATAGTTCGCATAAAATGTAGAAATATATAAAGAACATTATGTGCACATTACAGGCATCACCACTACATTGCCGTATACGATGTATTATGAATGAACATCTCCCAGTCGTAATTAGAAATGTTTCTAAAACCTACGGGCAATCTTTCTTTAAACATAACATTTAAATGAGGAATACCTTCCTGCCAAAGCAGTAAAATACAACATATGCTCGTTCATGTTTTCCTTAGAACATACATTAGATTCACTATCTCATGCAATGGCAGCCGGAGTTCTGAAATGAGTTTGCGATTGGAACATATTAATTGAGGATGATTGTTATAGAGATGATCACACAACCTAATCTCCACATATTTTGGACACTTAAGGATGCCGGCCTTTTAAGGAGCTTCTTTCTGACCGCCATGACGAAGCATGTACTACTACCTAAGTAGTATGCCTTTTTGTAATTAATTTCGACTGCCTTTATAGATTCAAAT